GGAGCAGACACAAATGATTAGTAGCTGAAAGGGAATCTTGAATAGTACTGTTGTCTCTTTGTCCAAAATGAAACTTTATTATGTCAGTCACACAAAATCACTGGCATAAAAAAGCTCTCTTTTTGTCTCTCATTCCTTAAAGATGAAAGAAGTTTATGAAGTTTTCTATTATTGGGTCTGCTGCACAAAGAGATAGAGCAAAACAACAGGACTCAAGTAAAAATACTTTATTAAATAATAAAAGGATGAGATCAATATATTATTATCTGTTCTAGAAATTTCTCCATAAAGGCTTTCTGGGACCCAGTGCTCTAATACTCTATGTGGCCACTAATGGCTTTCTAATTTCATAACCTGCAATGCTAGAGTTTTAAATCTATTTATTTTCATTTCATGACATGCATCAGGGGCAAAAGGATGAATTTAGTGACTTCATGTTACATGTTTCTATTAGATTAGAGGGTGCCCAAATGTCTTCATCTGGAACTCACATTGCAAGTTCTCAAGGAGAGAAGAAAAAGAAAGAAAAGGCTATTTTATTATGAATTTCAGTTTTTAAAGTAAGAAAACCTAGATTCTTCCTTTACTTTTGAATTGCAACATATCTGGCATTGTTTTCATTCTGAGTTCTTTGAGGAAGCTGCAGCTTGCCTTTTTCCCTTTTCCTTTTAATTTTTTCTTTTCAGTTCCAGTTAAACAATCTGAATGTATGTGAATATTTAGGGAAGGGAGAAAATCTGTTAATAACTTCCATTTAATCTACCTGATTTTTTTTCCCAACTCAGTGCAGAGTAAATTACAGTTCTTTCTGAGAGGAGAAATTTTAAAGAGAAATGGGAAGGAAATACTTTGAAATGCACTGTGTCTTACCTGTCCCAAAAGAAGACAACTATTTTACCAGCCTTAGATGTACGAATGGACCTTTCAATCAAAATCGGGTGGGGGTTTTAGGTGTAGAGATTTTCAATTTAGCTGTTACATAAGTACAGTCCACAAAAAGAGGAAAAGGTTTAGATTAGTGATTGATGCAAAATTGTCTATAAAATTGGATATTTTTCATCCTATAGAGGCTTGAAGGTTTGACAGTGACCCTTCCTTACTTTTCGTTGAAGAAATGCAACAGAACATTTTACCCTGTGGAGAAACTGGAACAGGAGGGAACTCAGTGTGATATTTCCTTCTAAGAGAACAATCTTGAGCTTTCCAGTCAAGATGTGACTCTCCAATCCATGCTGACTCTCTCCATCTAAGATCCTTATGCTGAATGCTCAGCCTGAATACAAAAAAAGACACCTTCCTCCAGTGCTTCTGATTTAGGAAGAGCAGAATTGGATATCTATTCCTCCCACTTTGGACCTTGTAGTTCAAAATATTTGATAGACACCATAATATGAATACAAAATTTGTCAGTTTTGCTGATGAAAAGTTAAAATTATACTAAAGACCCCCTTCTGATCTTAGCAAAGATATGAAATGAACCTTGAAAAGTAGTGATACTGAGTTTTCATGTATCTGATCTGCTGCCACAAGGGAGCAGGTGTTCACAATAAATTTAGATTATACTCAGAAAAATTTCAACTAATCTGGGTGTTCTAGCTGGAGGTTCAAAGCTGTTATTGCACTCTCCAGGAGAAAACAAGTTGAAGTAACACATTTCTGTTATGATTGCAAGGGCCAGTTCAGGTTCTACCATTCTACTAAATCAATTTCTCTCAGAACAAGAGGACACAAATCTATCAGATCCGAACCTTGGCTGGGACTCTGCCTTTTTTTGACCTTTGCTGAAATTAGATTGATGCTGTTCTGAGGCACACCATGAACCTTTAGAAGTTAAAAAGTTCAAAGGCTTCTTTGAACCTATTTATGTTTCAGTTTAATGATTCATATGTCATTTCTTTGTTCCAACTTCTGTATCCTGATGCCAAGCATCAGGAAATAAATCATGCTTGTACACTGTAGTAGTATTTTGCATAGTGCTTAAAACCATTAAAATACCTGATAGATATCTCCTGTACTAAAGTCATTCAGGAGAATGAATCTCAGATGCAAATTGTAAAGTATGGGTTTAGTCCTTGGGGGGGGGGAAAAAATACTCTTGTATCCCGAGTATTATATGACATAGCAGTAGTATCCATAATCATCTCTAGCTTTACAGGATTACATGTGTATCTTAAATTATTGTCTTTTCAGAAATAAAACTTAATGAAATGTTAGCCATGAGTGTATACTATGACTGCAGTAAAGAAAAAACAGAGATTAGCCTAAAAATAGTATCAGTTTATTCATACTTTCAATATACTGAACAATTGCTGCTGAAAACTAGAGAAAATGTTGAAGTAAATGTTACTAGTAGTCTTTTCTGCACCTTCATTAAAATTGCATCAAACATTCCTAATTTTATTATTTCCTGTTCTCTGATGCTGACTCAATGGCTTTGGTTCATTTATTTATTTGTGGTGAGAAAAAAAAAAAAATCCATGTTTAATTAAAGAAATATAAAAGGGAAAATAATGCCCTCAGGTAGCCTAAGTGGAATTTATCACTGCTTGTGCTCTAATTTGAGTTTTTTTTGCATTTATGTAACATCAGTTTTTAAATAGTGTAAATTGGTACAGTTGTATTGAAATTAGTGTATCTACACTGGGTAAAATAGCTTTCAACATAACTTATTTGGTTTGTTTGGTCTAGGCATGGAGTGCAGCACAGGACAGTGATTTCTGGATCCCTCCGATGTCTCTCAGAGGAGGATTTTCTTTGTAAGAGCGTTCTACCTACACACTTCTCTTAGGCTGCTCAGTTGAATCTGAGTTAGGCACCTAAAGGCTCTCTCAGAGGTCTTTTGGGAACATCTGTTGTTAACTGCAACACCCCTTCTTTTAGGAGTTTTCAGAAAGGTTTAGGAAAGTGTGTCTTCTACATCTTTTTTGTACTTTTTAATAATACTCTTTTCTCCCCCTCCATTGTGTTTTGTTGATAATTGTAAAGTTTACTTGTACTTTCAGATCTCTTTTCTAACTCTAGATGGAAAATATGTCCCATGCAAAGGAATAAGCTTGAGATGAAGTCTGCTGCTCACTGTATTTGTCTGCCATGACTTACATATCTGGACATGGCCTTTATGATATGTGACAAAAACCCTTAATGGGGACCATTAGTAAAATGAAATAGAGCAATGCTTCTTCCATGCTTTGGCACTAATCAGGACTAATCTGCTGGGGTATATGAAAGCTGGTAGACCACAGGTACTGATTCTAACAAGATTTTTTTTCCTTTAATGGCAGAGTGAGTGTAATGCTGTTCCTATTTAAAGACACTGCTGTAGAAGAAGACAGAATTTTCTGGACTGTTACTTTAAAAAGCCTTTCACAATTCAGATGTTTACCCAGTTATATCAAAATTATCTCTAACATCAGATCCTGCTTTCTTTCCAGTCTAACAGTTTCCTGGAAAGAAAACACTTAACTCATTTCTAGTGGATCTTTTATGCTTTATACAGATAAGACCTGAAATTAAAAACTCATCTGTGTCATTTGTTTCTTCCTCTGTCATTAAAACTTTTGCCAAGCAGTCACTACAGTGTCAAAAACTTTTTGATACTATTTCAAATTAATATCCTAGACACAGCAAGAATAACCAGGTAAGGAAAGCACCCACACACTGTTTTAACTCTTGCTCTGAATGTCAAGAATGCTGCAGTGACCAACTTTTATTTTTGTTTCACATAGAAGAGTAAAGGGAACACATAAATGAGTGTGACCAATAATACTTGTGTATGAATTATGTTTTATTCTTTTCTTCTCTGCTGCATGCTTTAAGCACATAAGTTCAAAACCTTCAAGGTTATACAGGAAGACCTCTTCCTTAAGGCAGGGTAAATGCTTCTTAAAAAAAGGTGAAGCAGCATTTCTTTTCTCACCTTTTAGATTGCTGTACAAGAACAGCTGTGTGGCACTTGTACTAGAGAGAATTACTGCACAAGTTAGTTTAAAGAAGTATGCTAGAGACAATTTGATGTTTGCTTGTCACAGTTGTCTTTTGCTGCCTCCCTCTCACAAGAAGTGCTACATTTTTAGTTATATATGTGGTTATCAGGTTTCTCCACAAAGAATGACTTTGACTGAAGAAATCTGAGAACTTTTAAATAATCTGGTGGTCTTTTCTCTCTCCTTTTTTTAAGGTAGCTTGGGTTTAGATCCATTTGACACGTCTGCATATAAGCACTGCTGCTGCTCATCATCCATTGTTACTTTACAGCTCAATTAGGCAGTTCTTAGTCTTGTGAGTTTTTCAGTAAATTGTCCATTGAAAACTAAGGGCAACAGTGTTAAATCACTCTTGAAATGATTTACCATTCCTTAATGCTCTTTTTCATATATTGAAGAATATGGATTAGATATGTTTGCTGCCTCCAAATGAAATGGCCTCTAGTGATTAATACATGAAGGCAACTATTCAAGAGAGATTGATGCATGTTCAGCAACAGTGCAGGCAAAACAAGTTATGAGTGATGATGATTCCACCTTTTTTCCCAAAGAAATAGATATAGTTTTAAATGGTTCAACAGGCTGCATTTGGAGTAACACATTAAAGCTCTTTACAGCTCGACCATCTAATAGGATACTGCATTTCCTTGCTTTACCAATGTGATTGGTATCATTCTAAAAGGGGCCAAAGTATGTGTGGAAGAGTGACTCATTGTAGCAATAAATGAAGAACAAACAAGGTAAGGTGAGATGAATTCAAAGACTTTGTTTTGGATGTTAAACTCACCTACCATAGCTGAGAAGTTTCCTCTTGATTACATCCCAGTGAATAAAAGAGTAGCTCTGCCCTAAACATTCCTCTTTTTATTAGCAAATGCTAAAGGTTGAAAAAACATTGTTATTAATGAATCAATCACTTCTTTTCAAATACTGCTATAAAGAAAAGTCCTTTTGGGGCTTCTTTTTAAATTATTTTATTATTTTGTCTTTTTTTTTTTTTTTTAGAGGCACCTATTCCCTTATCCAGAATTTGCTACCATCACTATAAAACTAATGTGTTTTTAAATTGGGGTACTGCTAAAAAATTCAAATCTAAATACTCTTTTTCTTCAAACTCATAGGAAAATCGGTATTATAGTCTTTTCATGCTATTAAGCCTTTGTATTGCTTATTATAAATTTAACTGTCATAAATATTATACAGCTGTTACTTTACAAAAATACATTGTGAACTTCTTCAGTGAATTCACATCTAACATGTGGGATTTTTTGCAAAATATTTTTTATTCTGCAAAACAGAGCCTTCAGTGAAAACAGAATTCACTATCCACAACACAACTTCATTGTACCAACCTAAGAGAGCCAACTGGAGACATCTAGATTGGAGACAATCTGAGATGCCGTTGTGATTGGTGGAGTTCACAGGGATATGGATCAGGTAAGGAGTAAGGCTAGGCCCTTAACTTCCAGACTTCCTGCTCTTCAGGGAGAGAGTCAGTGGAATTCCTTAGAAGACTGCCCACAGGGACAAAGGAGTAGAACAGAACTGGCAGATCTTAAGGAAGTCTTCCACAGAGTGCAACAGCAATTCCCAGGAGCAATAAGTCAGTCAAGGAATGCAAGATTCTATTGCATATTTCCATTTTAGAAAATTTTGCTGGATTTTTTTTGTTATAGTCATCTAATAAAAGATGCAAAATACCAAGCCATGTAATATTGCTATAATCTGATTAAACACTAGAGTATTTCTTTAAGAATATTTTCATTAAGCAAGTGTAAGTATGCTTTGAAAAGGTGATTGCCTTTGTCTGTATTTTAAAATAAGTTATTTCAGAACAATAAGTTTTTAAAAGCCAAGATGAAACCATTGCTATTGCAATGATATATCTGTGTACTTGACACTACATGACCATTTGCACATTATTTGTAACCTTTTTTCATTATATTTTACATTTATCATCTAACTCATTTTGGCAAATTTTTGTACAATACTTCTATGACCAGCTGAGAGTGATAGACAGTCCATTTCATGCGGGAAGAGGGGAGAAAAAATATGGCTGGTTTAACTTTAATTGGGTTAAACATGAATCACTGACCAGTTCAAATCTGATGTGCCCTATAGATAACCAGGACCAGTTTTATCTGTATCAATTTTCCAGTTCAGTACACTATTTAACCAGGGCAGGGCAAGGGAACTAGAAAGCGTTTTCATGCATTGCTTCACCTAGACTGTTCTATTGTCAAGCACTGTTGAAAATTACAGGAAATTGTCATAAAATTAAAAGAAATTTGAGTTATACTGGATGCTTGCTTTTTGCTTGGGGATTCATCCGATGCTCAGTATCAGTGCAGAAAAAGCAAATGCTTCAAAGCAGACGAAATATTCGACATTATATTGTGCCACATCATGAGGAGCTGTAAAAATTCCTTTATGTAGTTTCATGCGAGGTACAGTAAAAGAAGGATTTCATCCATTTTGAAAGAATGAAGTATCTTTGTGAAAAACTACTTTTAACAAAAAAAAAAAAATAACTCACTTCAGGTTCTCCGTCTCTTATCATGATTAGAATTTCTGCCACTTGCAACAATTCACTGGTCATCAGTAGCTGCTTCCATTCAAGACTTAAATATCCTAGGTAAGTTTAATATCTTCAAATGTACCTGGTTCAGTAAGAGAAAACATTCAGTGTCCTTTCCACAACTGGTGTGCAAACCTTGGCAGCCAAGTTCATGTGAGAAACGTTGCTGAAATTGTTCTTATCAAAATAAGTGCTAGAGAATGACTAGGTTCTAGCAAGGATATCCCTTAAGTCATCAGTTTTTAAAAAAGGTCCATAAACTGCTACATTTATTGCAATAGACTATTGTCAAATTTCTTGCTTATCTGTTTTATGCACTTTTTAGGTTCCTAGACTGGTAAAAGACAAGGTCACTGTCTTTTTAATCCTGAGGCTCACCTGGTATGTTCACTGAAATGTTTAATAGTGAGTTGCTAAGTATTAATTCCTGTTAAGAAAATTTCCTGTTCTCAAATGGCTTAATTAATAATAAATTAATTATATAATAATTAATTAATTAAATTCATAATTTGATTAATAATAAAACTATTCACACTTTAGCCTATTAAATACACACATTCCCCATCTTGAAAGTAACCTTAACATCTCTGAAATGCAGCTTTATGCATGGGGCAGGGGGCTGTGATAGAGGGTTTATTGCAGTGTTCTCCTTTGAAGCTTGGTTATTCTAGACTAGTGCTGTGAAAGCTTATAACACAAAAGAAAAAAAAGCTGTGCTCTGGTTAATGTCCTGTTCCAGCACCAGCAGGGCCCTGTCAGGTTTTATTTTTCATCTGCAAGACTAACACAATATCACTTAAAGATACTGTTTCAGTTTCTATCCTGAAAGGGAAATATGATGCAATTCAAACGCTGCTTGAATAAAAGTGGAAGTTCAAATGTGTAAAAGTTCAGAATTCTGGAGTGATTTTGGATTCTTGAAGGCACATCCATTAAAAAAAAAAAAAAGAAAAAAAAGTAAAACAGTATTATCTAGTATTATTTAGAAAGAAGTAATAATGCTCTTGGTTATAGTTTTTGTTTGCTTTTTAAAATACCATTATCCATAAGAAAATGAATGCAAACAGGAAGGAGAAACCTTCAGTGAATTTGGCCAGATACATGCATGAGTTTGATGCTTAGTGGCAGATATTTGGGGCAATCTAATTTAACATGGGAAGAAAAACTGAGCAGCATCACAGTTTTTATATAGTAGTAGTATTTGTTGTTAGGCTTGTACATAATATTTAGTCCTAGGAAATAGTCAGTGACATTTGTATTATCTAGAAGTAGTACAGCATTATTTGATAAAAGTTTGATTTGATTGTAGCCTTATCAACATGCAGGCAGATAAACTGCACAAGCACAAAGGCTGCCTGGGAATAAGAAGCATTTGTTTTGCTCTGTGTGATTTGTAAATCCACCAAAAAAAATTATATGAACAGGTATTACCAAAGTAAGCAAATACAGTAACGTTTGTTAGTGTGACATATGAAATGCAACATCTTGGCTCTTCTTGTAAACCAGCCCAAACCTCAATCATTGGGGAAAAAAAGATCACTTCAGCTGTAATATGTGCTGTTAAGATTCTTCTGCCATGCAGTGCTTTGATGTAGTCATATCAGATGCAGAACAAACTCTGTTAATATTCTGTTCAGTTATTTTTTAATAGTTTTAATTCAATTTCTGACTATATCTGAAAACCTTTCATCATTTACATCTAAGCCACAAAGGAGAAAAAGAAAAAAACCAAAAACCACCCTAATCAGACAAAACAAAAACCAAACAACAAACCTACCAAAAAGAAAAATCAAAGAAAAAAAGCCAAAACAACCACACAGCCCTAATTGTATACACCACTGACCTTTTATAGATGGTGGTGTACAACTGTGCGACCTGGTGGATGACAATAATATTGTAGGTCTGGCCCAAAAACCATACAGACAGAGTAGTGTCATTCTGTAGCTGCTACTTCACCTAAAATGTCACACTACTATCACACACTACCAGCTCAAGACAGAGTCAGAGAAGACACACTAAACAGTGATCTGACTTTGTAACTGTACTAGCAGTGTAAAAAATATATGAGTGTGAATGGCTGTTTAATTACTGTCTTCCTCCCTGTTCTGTCTCTGCATGACAATTACTGTTAATTACTGTGGTGTTTCTAGGTTTGGCAGTACTGGAATGAAAAAAGAGTCACTCAAAATCTAACACGTTACTGGAATTTGAGGGTGTCCCTCATGCTTATGGGGGTCAGACTGACATAGACTTAATTTTTTGATAGTAGCTCATATGGTGCAGTGCTCAGAGTTTGTGATCAAAACAACACGGATAACAGCACAGTAATCTTAGCTACTGCTGCACAGCCTTTGTACAGCTTCAAGGCATTCACACTGACCCTCCAGCAAGGTGCTGGGAAGGGGCACATCCAGGACAGCTGAGCCAAACTATTCAAAGGGATATTCTGTACTTTATGGCATCATGCTCATCAGTGAGGGGAGGGTTTTAGGTTGGGATGGTATTACTTGGAGACTGATTGTGCATCAGCTGGCTTGTGAAGTATGGTGAGGGTGAGTAATCACCTCGTTATTTGTTTCCTTGGGGTTGTGTTTTTTTTTCTCTTCTTTCCTTTACATGTTAAAATTTCTTCATCTTGACCACTGAGCTTTCTCTCATTTGCTGTTAACTCCATTGTCTTGCTAAGTGTGGGGTGGGAATGACCAGCTGTGTGGTGCTTAGTTGTTGGGTGGTGTCCAGTCACCACACATGATGAGTACAAATTGTTTGTTCTGGAATTAAGAAAGTTAAAACAGATTTTTTTGCAACATTTTTAAACTTTTTTTTTTTTTTTTTTGCTAGCCTTAGAGAACCTAAGAGGGAAAATAGGGAAAATGAGCACTGTAATGTCCCCAAACATAAGACATAACAATAGGAATTTGAAAATAATAGAGAATTTCTCTTAAAAAGGACTTTTTTCTCCATTATCACTAGTAATAGGCAGTAGTAGTCATAAGCAAAACTGTATTAAACTTCAAGATTTTTACTGATGCATTATTTCTGAGAGAAGTTGCTGGTTTTATATTATATCAGGCTGCCTAGAAAGTTTTAAATAATTTTTAGCACTCTATAAACTGAGCAGCTCATTCAGACCTTCATTTTCTACAATGTCCATAAATATGGTAATTTTAGCATTTCCCACTACTTTGTATCCCAGAAACGATCCTCTCAGTGGGCCTGCTATTTTTGACATTTTCCTTCATTTTAACCAGATAAGTAGCAACTTAAAAGTGCCTTCCCCGAGCCCTTTGTGATAAGCATTCCTAACATTAATTGCCAAAAATTACCAGCTGCAAATGATTTTATCTAAAAAAGCTTCTCTGTGGCTTCCTCAAGACAATATAGTACCCTTTATGTTGCAACCAGACACTTAAGCATGTAAATAGGAAGAAGCCCAAAGTATAATTAATATTTAAAAAGCGAGATGTCATGCTCTGCTAAAGAATTTTTTAGTATCCATATTTTTTTTCTTAAATCACATTTTCCTCAGAAGAATGTATTTTGGGGCCTAACTGAGCAACTTTCAGTTGATCAGAGCCTTAGTGTTTTACTGCAAAGTGGTGAGAACTACAGAGCTATGTAAGCCTCAGGTCTAAAATGGGAAAAAATGCCATTAATTCTTAAATACCTGATCACATAGAATCATGTGTTGTTTCTGCCTTTTTTAAAGAATTCAGAAACAGGGGGGAAAACCCTAAACAAATAAAGAAGGAAAATACAGTTGAAATAAAATCTGTTGCTAGATACAGAAAATAAAGAAAATTGCCTAATAAGCATATATAAATAAAAATCCATATTTTATAATCTTCTGCAGTCTGTGGTAAATTGAAAAAATCTTTTTGCAGATACATGTCAACAATGACAACTTTTGTACTCACAAGTTACTGAAATTTTAGCTCTGTGTTATAGAACAGGAAATTGCAGAGCAGAGATCATGGATGAGATATCCAACTTTCTGTACATGGTCAGAAGTCCTGTCATAGAGTTTGAAGGTAAAGCAAAGCCAGTGTTCAGTCCTAGCCTTCAGAGACAAACTTAAGTCTTCTACTAAAAAATGTGGGGAAAAAAATACCCATTTCTTAGAAAGAATTTAGCCCCTCAACTACCTCTTGTGAGGATGTTGAGGAGGTCTCATCTCTCTGTGTCAAGTCTCCCCGGACTTCGTTGCCCCTCAGGACTGCCTCCCAAAGGAGTCTTTCAATCAGACTCCTAAACAGGCAAAAGTCTGACCTCTGGAGGTCAAAGGCAGATGTTCAGCTGCCATCCCTCCTTACTTTTACAAGAACTTCAAATTTATATATTTGCATAACCACCTATGCCCAAGACCGTTTTTGACAGTCACATCACCCACCAGCCCTTCTCTTTTCACAAACAAGTCCAGCAGGTGCCTTCCCTAGCTGGATCTCTCATCAGTTGTGGCAGGAAATTGTCTTCTACACACTCCAGGAACCTTACTCTCCTTTTTGTATGATTTCCAGCAGACATCTGGTAAGTTGACATTCCCCCTGAGAGCAAGGCTAAGAATTATGAGACTCCTCCCAGTGCTTATTAAATACATCTGCTATTTCACCTTGACTGGGTCATTTATAACAGGATCCTCCCTTGATATGTTAATGATCTTTCATCTGGTTCCTATCCATAAATGCTCAACCCTATCATCATAAAGCTCTAGATAATCAAAGCACTCCCTAACAAGTAGGACTACCCCATTCATTCTTCAGCTATCCCTTCTGATGAGTTTATAGTCATTCATTGCAGCACTCCAGACACGTGAAGTAATCCTTCCGTACTTCTATAATTCTGACAATACAAAAATTTTCCATCTTTCCAATGATTTCTACCATCCCCTGTTCTTGTTGGTGTAGGATCACTTCAGGTGGGCTATTGACCATGACACCTTTTTTGGGTGTGAGACCCTACTTTCTGAGTGGATATTTTGAGGTGCTTCTGTGGTTTCGAACATAACATGCCACATGGATCTCAATCCCCTACTCCCACTGACATGGCTAGGTGTTACAAGCATTAGTACAGAGACATTACAGATGTGCTCCAGTGTTCTCAGGACATTGTGGAGCATGCTGAAGGACCTCACTAGCACACCCTTTCTAAAACACTGGCATGCCATCCCCAGGCTCATCTCCAACAAGCCTGGTTTTATTCCTTTCCCCCTTCAGACCTAGTTTAAAGCTCTTTCAAGGAGTCCTGCTAATGCTTGTGCAAAGATTCTTTCCCCTTTAGGAAAGGTGAGCACCCCATCTCTTGTCAGCTGTTTTGGTGTCTTGTAGACTAACCCATGATCAAAAATCCCCAAGATTCTGCCAATAACACAGGTCTCAGAGCCA